AAAAAATTCTTAGTTGGGTTGCTCTTTTAAAAAAAAAAAAAAAAAAAAAAAAACAATCAAAAGTAAAATCTTCTCAGAGGCTACATTCTTTCTGATAATATGTGCATGCATAGGAGAATGAGGCTCTTTAATGTACCTCTGTAAAGGCTATGCCAAATGTGGATATAGCTATGCAGGATTGGGAGGAGGGAAGGGGAGAGAGCAGAATAGGTTCTTTTTTACTCCTTTTCCAGAAGTACATAAGTAATTGCTGGTATTTTTGCTCCATCCTCCTATCACTGGGATTTGTGACTCAAAGCAGTGTCTCTTGACTCAGAATGCCCATGCACAAGCGTCATTCCTTGTTGTGAATTTCATCTGAAACCTAGTATGATACAGATGTATTTGATGAACCATCACTGTGAAGGTTGTCTTAAAACTACTGAAGGAAATTAGGAACCAAAAGCACTTTTTCCATTCTCATGTATCTGTATGTCGACTAATGCTCTGTAGCCAGAAACTCTGAAGCTACAACACATTTTTCTGTTCCTTTTAATCCCAGAGGCTTGTTGAAGTGAACAGCCATAGCAGGTTTTTAGTCGTTCCTGCTTCCTACACCCACTGCCTACTGCATAAACATTTAGTCTCTGTGGCAAATGAAAATGCTCCTACACTGTAGCAAATAGCCAGGCTATATGTTAATAGTACCCATCTATTATTAGTTATATTGGTTATTATATTAGTATTATTATATTAGTTGTTATTAGTTATAACTCTCTGCCTGCCAGTACATGCGCTCACCTGTTGTAGTGGGATATATGTAGGGCTGCTCCATTGCATCAGTCAAGGGACTTGATGAGGATTTTATTTTCCTCCAATTTCTCTGTTTCAACTGCTCCCCTGGTGCCATACTTGCGTGCCCCTCCTTTTTCATAAGGAGTGAATTTTTCACCGTTTGTTACATGTTTAATCTTGCCTCAGATCCTGAAATGACTATTAGTCTGCATGCGAAGCTTAAACGAGCTTCAAAAGCGTGGTGTAAGGTGAAGTCTGACGCTGTTTCTCAGTTCACAAGTTCACATCAAAAGAAAAAGGAAAGGCACTAAAATGACCAAAAGCTGGTCTTGTCACCTATAGTGTCCCCTGCCTTGCTCTTCTGGGTATTGACTCATCCTTACATTTTCACTGTGTTGGTCAGGGCATTACCTGCCTCTTTCCTATTGCTTTGAATGGAAACTACCCTGAGTCGCACCAGTGCACGGGGCTTTGAAAACGCAAGGATGAGTAAGTGGTCATCCATGCAGACAAGAGAAAGATGCATCCTCACTTTGCGCTCTGAGTGCCCTGGTAAGGCCATAAGACTGCAGAGGCAGTATTCATTTTAAAAATACAATATAAAAAAATGCTACATAAGAGCTGATAACAGTGTGGCATCTGTTGGGTGAGAGTTTGAATTCGTCTGTTCTGAAAAGTGCCAGGGAAGGAGAACATGGGAGACATGTGCAGAGGCAAGAATTCAGCTACAGTACGTGGAGTAGACAGAAAGAATATTGAACCGTTCCTGTTAAAAACCTGGAAACGTGGTGGAGGCAGGGAGGTAGCGGTTCACCTGTTGCCTTCGTGGTTGGTATGCTGATATCTTCCAGTTTTGTCGTCCTCACAAAAGGAAAGCGCAGGGAATTCAGATCCCTGAAGTGCCTTTTTTCTCTGTGCTGTTTCCCAGATTCTTATCAGCGTCTTTCAGTAGCCCGGCCCATTTAAAACACAAACAACAGCAACAAAAAAAGTGTTTACAGTGTGCGGGGTGTCTTTGCCCAGAAAGTGTCTACCCTTGGAAAGTTCTTCTACTACAAAGCAGTACCTCTCTCACAGTGGGATTTGAGGGAGGTTGTGCATACGTATCCTCAAACAAATTGAGGGACTGTCAAGGAGAATGGGAAGTCTTATTTTTAGTAGAATGGTCTTTGATTATTTTTCTCCACATATGTGCATCCTTTATGTAAAAGAAATTCTGAGCCATAGCACAAGGACTGTTGTGTTAGTCTGAGCTGAGGTTGGTTTTTGAACGTGTAACTACAAAATTCAGAGGACGGACCCACCGTTAGTGTTTTGGCTTGTCACTGATCACCACTAATCTGTCTCTCAGAAATTATTTCTAGCGCACCTTGAAGAAATGTTAAGGATGTGACATACTCTATTTTGAACGTTGCCAGCTTTGTACCGATACATGAAACAAGTTTTGTTACTATACATTGAGCAGTGAAAAAGAGTTTAACAAGCACTTCGCAATGGGTTCAACTGCTTATCTTTATCATTTTTCTACCTCCTTTTGTCTTACTCTGCTTTTCAGATTATCAGTTTATTAAATGTCTTCACACCACAGAAATCTCTGGAGGAGTTCCAGGATGTGTAAGTAACACAGGCAGTATTTAACTAAAACTTTAGAGACATGAGTAGTACCATGAACAGAGTAATACAGTGAAATACAAAAGATATGAGCCCCTCTGAAAATGACCCTGTGTAGGTTATGCTGTTGATAGCTAGATATTCTGCATTCCCATTTTTAAAGCACTTCTGACATTTATCAGGTGTTAGGTACTGGGTTACCTGTGTACTGTAAGACTGTGCAAAACCTGCTGGTGGCTCTTCTTGAGAGGGTTAGAGTATTTGTATTTGCCTTCAAATGCAGAGGAAGGAGTATGAGCAGTCAAAGGGGCCCGTATTCTGTTCTTTTGTGTTATTAGTTTGCTTGGGAAATGATTGTTATGCAACTCCCTGAGGTGTGTGAGGTTTTGAAATGCAGGAATTCACTTTGAAATAATTTCCTGTAAAAGGAACTGATGTGACACTTTTCCTCCCTTTCGTATTTACTTTCTAATAACCTTTGGCTGCGTAAAATGATCCGCCTGGGGTACTAGGGCTGGGTGTAGAGGATGACTAACATCTCCACTGAATGCTGTCCTATTTATTGCACAAGCACTACACATGTAATATGAATGTGCCCCGAGTGAAATTTTGCAGGGTCAGTGTTTCATGTAGCTGTGCTCCTTTTATCTTTTAGCCTTTACCATTTGCTTCTGTACTCTAATATGAGTGCTGATAAAAGACAGATAGCAATGATTGGAGTTATGCGAGTGCCGTTTTGGTTTTGGTACATGGATCTTCTGCATAGTATTGTCATTGCAGACTTGTGCAGAGTAGAGAAGGTTACTGTAGTGTTAGAAGGTAAGTCGTGCAGCTCACACAGAAATAGAAAGCTAGTTTTCCCCCCAAGTTTGAGAGAGCTTGAATGAAGTGTTACAGTTAAGATTCAGCGGTGCTTATTAGATGCCTGTTAGATGTTTAACAAGAAACAAGCTGACGCGTTAACCATGTTGATTTTCCTCTAACGGGGATTGGGTTGAAGTCCTGCTAAGGTTATCAGTCAAGCTTATTTATCAAAAGCACAAGACCAATTAGTTGTAATGAGAAATGTGTGGAAGTCAAGCAGTCTTACGAGGATTTTGGAGACATTTCCTGTGGGGATGATTTTTTGGCCTCTCGGCTTTCTCTGCTCCTGTGTGACTCCTAAACGTACTGTGGTAGCCATTCCTCATGATGATCAGAGGCTGTGAGCAATCTTGTAATGTGATGCTTGTGGCTTTTCGGGGTTTTGTAAGCAGGTTTCACTGTCATGCTGACTGTTTGCCCATGTAGAGTATGGTCTCTGTAGTGGGGAATGTACTGAGTAAGGCGCAACAATAGACTCATTTTGCTGGGACATTAATAGAAGAGGGACTGTTCAGTTAGAAGGTACAACGAGAGACAAACCCCATGATGATGCAGTTGTGAGTGGGCTCTACCCTAAGCCAGTCTCCAGCTGTTACCTTCACTAACCAGAAATCAAGTTTTGAAGCAAGAAAATTTTGCCTCTGGTACTTCTAGAAGACAATGCTGTGGTCTCTGTGCAGTACAGGCAGTAACCCCATGATTTTACTTTTTCATTCAGTTACCTAGTAATGGAGTTAATGGATGCCAATCTGTGCCAAGTCATTCAGATGGAGCTAGACCATGAACGAATGTCTTACCTACTGTACCAAATGCTCTGTGGCATCAAGCATCTTCACTCTGCAGGAATTATTCACAGGGTAAGGGGCTGTGCTTGGAAACTTACGGCACCAGATCACATCATCATGAAGACTTTAGAAACCAGTTGAGTTTCATGTGTACTGTGGATCCAAACCCTGTCTCCCAGTAGAAAGGCCGCGAATGTACTAGTCATAGCCCACCTCCTTAGCAGAGCAGCTTCATGGTTGTGTTAGGAATGAGATTGTTTGGCAGCTTAATAATCAGACAAAAAGGTGACGCCCTTTTAAGAAACAAATTAGCACTGGAAATCACCAGAGTGATCATGATGTCTGAAACGGGGGTCGATAGGTGTTTTTCCTCCCGAAACTGCAGCTGGCTACATCAGCCATGCATATATTCATGAGTTTATGTTGTTGCATGGTTCAAGTATTGCTTGATAAATGTCCACAGAGAGCAGTGAGGGCATATGCAATTGGATTTTGCCATCTTTTACGTTTGCTACAATCAACTAAAAGACTGCTAAGCCTATGCTAAATACTTCCTGCTTTTCCACCTGTGAGTGTTGTGTCTGCTAAGGATGTGATGCCCAGCTGTGAGTGCCAGAGGTAGTGGTATGTGTGATTGTTGATAGCAGAGTGAATGAATTCTATGAGTGTGAGCAGGAGGGAATCCTCAACAGATTAAAAACATCCATGAGCCAACTTCTTTATTGAGATGCCCTTTTACTGATTTGGATTTTCCTACTGAAAAAAAAGCAAAACCGAAAATGTTACCCTTCCCTTTCAAAAAGAAGAGAAGAAGGGTTGATGACATGGGTTACGAGCTGGATGTTGCTTTACGATGTACAAAGATCTCCTATCTCAGGATGACCTATGTATAGAGAGGGGTGATAGATTTGTCTTCAAGATAGTGTTCAAGGAAAGGATGAGTTGAATTATTAGTTTAAATGAAACATTAAAATATCTCCACATGTGCAGTTGGAGTGCCTCTAATTAGTATTGCAGGGTAAACAAAGTAATACCGGGAATAATACTCAACCCAGTTCCCTGAGTTACTAGATGCAGTTAATTTAATATCAGTAGTCTGCCACCATCCAGGTAAAGCCCCAAAATATACCAGTATAGAATGTCTTCCAGAAAGGGTTGCTAGAGAAACAGTAGCAAAATTGAGTGCCGTATGCTTAAAAGTGACTTCTGACAGTAGCTATCAGTGTCAGAGGAGTAAAAGGATATTTGAAGAGTGACCTAAAATACTGATCCAGATCACTAAGACTGCCTGGCTTTATGAAAGACAGTCAAACCTCTTTTCACTGTCTTTTGCAGGATTTAAAACCGAGTAATATTGTGGTAAAATCTGACTGCACATTGAAGATTTTGGACTTTGGACTGGCCAGGACTGCAGGCACTAGCTTCATGATGACTCCATATGTGGTGACACGTTACTACAGAGCACCAGAGGTCATCTTGGGAATGGGCTACAAGGAGAACGGTAGGGCTGCAATTTCATAGCAAGCACAGTGCGACCTAAAGTACAAGGTCTGCCTCTACAACTGTAAGGGGCACCAGAAGGAGAAAAAGAAAATGTAACAGGAAATGACATCCTGAATTTAAAAGGCAGGTGATTCAGAGCAGTTTCTCACTGTTGCATACTGCAGTTACAGCCTGTATTTGGGATGCAATGTTGGTGAATTTAACAGTGTGGGATTACAGCTTAATGGGAGGCCTATCGTTGGTCACTGTTGTGACCTAATTAAGTATAATTAGGCTTTTCTGACCAGAATGTGTTTGGGTTCTGTGGCTATGAAACAGTTTGGGAACCATTGGGATGGCTGAGTGGATGAGATGTCCTAGATTCGGGTCTGTGTCTCTGAACTGTTTGAGGGAGAAAGAAGAGGTGCAAGCTAAAATGGAGAATCCTAGACTTTCCAGAAATTTCCAAATCTGGAGCTAGATCTGAATTTCAGGAATGTTTCCTGTCTTTATGATAGGTTTAACTAAGGTCCCAGGTTTTGCTCACAGGTTTCATGTGGTTAAGATTTAGATCTAAATTTTGCAGCCTGAGTCTGGTTTTCACCAAAAGTGGACTTGGAGAAAAGAGCAAAAAGATGGAACTAAAAGACATGCATCTAATTTGTATGTGATCTCCCTAGATATGGAGATGTATTTTGTTGTTAGCACTCTGTGAGGTATCTGGGATACCTCTTGGTCCCTTGAAAGACTGTGAAAAGCAGTTAGGGAGTGCACTCTTCCTATAGAGAAGCAGGTAAGGAAGAATTTGTGTTTTGCAGGGGATGAGGGGGAAAGCTTTATTTTTTGAGTGGCTCTCATTTTGTAATTAAACTGAGAATTACATCCAAGTGCCAGGTAGACTAAGCAAGAAAGAAGGGAACACAACATGCAACGGAGAAAAATCCACTACAGCTGTGATTCTGCTGCTAAAAGCTACCATTTTTCTGTTACGTAAGGAGACTTTTTGATAACAACTATTAGAGTAAAACAGCAGAGCCTCAGAATTGGAAATTTATTTTAAAAGTTTCGTACTTACTTCAAGTTGAAAAGGCTAACTCGCATGCAAGAAAACTTTGACTTACAGCCAGCTGCATTCTTTGAGGGGCAATGAAACTGGGTTCTGGGGCTGATTGCTTTACTTAAGCAATAGTAGAGGCATGCTCACAGAACCTCTTCCAAAATCAGGAAGTCTTTGCATGAATTATTTGTGATATTTATAAATTTACAAAACAAATTTTAATATGAAAGTCTAACACTAGAGAATTAATATGCAGAGTCTAACCATTCACAATGATGACAAGAAAAGGAACAGTCTTCCTTCGAGTATTTTATACTTGATAATTTTGATGTGTGCCGTTAGAATTCTGAAGTAGACTCAGCATGCTTGTCATAGTTCCTTAGTCCAAATATCCAGGATTCCTTCTATTGTGAAAGGAAATATTTTGCTTTTATTTATTTTGTTCTCTCCGAACACTTAGTAAGTGGTTCCCTTTGTTACTATTAGTGTGCCTGAAAGGAGAGAGAAAGCACTCAGTTTTCACACTGCTAAAATGACACCAAGCACCAAGTTTTCGCACTGCTAAAATGACAGCAAGAAACAGTTTGAGACCCTTTTGTGATGAACTGAAGTGCACATCTGGAGATGCACTAGGAACGTACGCCACATTCAAAGGTCCTGATCAAGTTAGCCTGTTGAAGTTAGCATAATGACTTTCTTTGGCTTCTGGCGGGCAATGATTCTGGCTCAGGATAAGTGATCTTGTCTCAGTTGTACAAAGGGAAAATAAAAAGAAATGGAAGGAAACATCTGAAAATGAAGGTCAGCATATCTGAGGATCTGGTCTGCTCTGAAGCTCTGATCCAGTTCCCGCTGAAGTCAACAGAAAGGGTCTTTTCTGTTCCTCTGCTCTGGCAGATGTTGCCACATTACTGGAGCTCCCCTACTTTTTTTCCTCCCTCATCGTGTACACTGCCTGTATAAGGACTGTTCACTGCTTTCATTTTCTTTCTGTACTTGGTTGGCTATAGATGCATAATTATCACCACTTTGCTGCACTTCCTTTGGAAGGTCCCAAAACCGTCACTATGAAGAAAACTCTACCACCACCTCAGGCATGCCCTTGCTGTCCTATGCCCCTGATACCTGTACCCTCCTTTTCCCAAATGGAACATTTCACCTTTTATTTTGTTTTACCAAAAAATAAGTTGTTTGTTTCTTTGATCTGTTTTGGTTTGTTTTTGAAGGAAAAAAGGGAGAAGAAAAAGAGGAGAGAAACTGGTTGTATAGATCAAATATGACCGCAAAATGAGGATTCAGAACTGGAAAATAGGATAATTTCTTAAAGCAGTTTTTCCCCTTCACATTGAATCCCGGTCTTTTCTTTCTGTGCACGCACACTATGTTGTTGTGTATCTAGCCTTTTTTTATTGTAAGACTTGAAGGGGGAAAAAAAAATGCAAGCCAAACAGATATGTAATGATGCATATTGCATCTAAAAGTTGAAGACGGAATCAGGAAGATAAGAAATGTTCTTAGTCTTGTTGGTACCTGTTCTTTGAAGAATTTATTTATGTTAGGGTTATTTTCAGTACCTGCGCAGTAAAGAGCAGAGTCCACATGGGACGTACTCCCTGTTTCTTTCCAGTCAGTAATAGCTACGGGACAGCCTTAGGCCATGTAGGTATGGACCACGAGGCAGGAGTTTTAAATAAGCATGCAGCAGGGTGTTCATCCATGTGCAGCCTTTACTGGTGTGAACGGTTCCATTTGGAACTTCCTGTGTATGGCTGCAGAGGGAGGCTCGCTCCTGCAGGATAAAGCTCATAAACTGCCTGGCCTGCAAGTGCGATTTATTCCAGATGATCGCCGGCTGAGGATTTTTACTTTTAGTTTTTTCTTCTAAAGAAAGGTTTGTGTGGGTTTTTTTGTTCTTTTTTTTTTTTTTTTAAACCATACACTCCATGCAAACCACAAGTCTGTGCAGTTGATGTTTTACTTGCTAGCTCCGGGCCTTTTTCCAACAATGTTGATATTTTAAACTTTTTCTTCTGTTGCTCACTACTGTTGAGCTGACTGGCACAGCTTTTACTTATTTATTTTAGCGTTTGCTGAGATGTGGGGAAAAAACAACAAAAAAACTGTACTGTTCTGATCAACCTGCTCTTTTTCCCCTCCTTTAGGAGTGAAATGTCTTAGTTAACTCTGCTTTTTTTCCTCCTTCTTCACTTCCCTGTCTCTGCTGTTCTAGTGGATATATGGTCTGTGGGATGCATTATGGGAGAAATGGTTCGCCACAAAATCCTCTTTCCAGGAAGGGACTGTATCCTTGTGCCATTTGCTGCAGCTTCGCCTATTATTTTTACCTCTCCTCCACCCCATCCCCTTTAACATGTAATGAATATACCAGGTCTGTAAAGATAGAAGCAAAAAGTTGAATCCCAGAGGTATGAGTAAGTGGAAATAACCCTCTCCTGATAAGAACAGAAATGAAAAACAGATACACAGAATTATTTTGGTCAAATCAGTTATTTTAATCTGTCATCGTCCCATTTTATGTAGTCTGTATTTCATACTAACATGCAGTCTAGAAGACAAGCACTGTAGTTGCAAATTTGAAAGCTTTACTTTTTGGTCATTCTTTAAAAAATATATGAAAATGGAAAAAAAAAAATCCTTTTTTGGCCTGTTCGGCTCCTGTAAATCTGTTTTTCTGCTTTCGTGCTTTGGAAATAGTGACTTAATAACATTTGTGGTGACATCATAATCTTTTGCTTGCTAATGCATCATGGGTTTGGATTCATCTCAATGCTGTATGGGCTCAGAGTTGAGTCCATGCAACGTTTTTTTCTTTAAAACAAAATGAAGAATTTGACTCGCCCAGTTTAAAAGACAACCGTATATCTGGTGTGGTTTCCACATTGGCCTGAAGTCAGGTTCTGTTGATTTAAAAGTGGACTTTCCTTCCCTTGCCTGAGGTCTGTATCATTAATGAAACTCTATCTCCCTTCCATCGTATTCCTCTCGTCTTGGGTGATGTTATTTTACCACTTCTGAAGTGGTGAAATCAATATTAGAAAATGAAAACAAAAGAGGAGGTGTCTGCTTAGGCTTCAGTTTATCGTAGGCTAAACCTGCCAATCTGCCTGCGATAGCTGGAAAGCGTAGGTGGTGTATGTTTTGCCCATCAGAATCAAAATGCACTACCATAACATGTTCTCTGCTCTCAGAAACAAAAAGGCAAATTCATTTCAGCAGGTTGGCAGAAAGACACCATTAAAATCTGGCATCAGCTGACACTGGCAGTTGGTATGGATAAAAATCAACTTTTATAGCCATGTAGTCATAGAACTAATTATTTTTCTGCTGGCTCTTGAGCAGTTCCCGTAGTGTTTGTCAGAGTTAGGCCTGTCCTATTTTCACAAGGCTCATCCGCTTCCCTTGAAAACAGAGCTCTGCCCAGTAGCTCAGTGAAGATGCTTTTTTCTGATGGGTTGAAGGGGAAAATGCACGTACTTCCTGTTTGCTGAGGAGAAAACAGCAATGTTTGGCTGGCTTCCGGTCTTTTATACACCGCTGTAGACTGGAAAGTTACCAGATGCAAATCTCTGGCAATGAAATAAGGACGGTGGTTTTTATCATGAGCGGATATAGCTTTGAGGTCCAGCTCCAAACGCACTGAGCATTTCTTGCAACATGTGAAGCAGGCTGCGCACCTACCTTCTGGTGTAATTTGAATGTGCAGAGAAGCTTGCAGAACTCTTGTCAGTTGTATTTGAGAGCTACAATTGCGTGTGGTAGATCTGCTGTGTTTCATTGGTATCAAAACCTCAGAAACACTCTCCTTACTCTTTTCCTCCAAATCCTATACTCGTTTCCTCTTTTTTTTTTTTTTTTGAAATGTATGTGATGGGAAAACTAAACCATCTGTAATATACCTCGGATTCACTTGTAAGTACTGAGGATTTTTCCATTTAATCTATTTGGAGAAAAGTCTCATTCAGTATTTAGTTCACTAAGCATCTGGAATACTGGAAGAGAGAGAAGAAATCCTAGTGTAAACATGCAGTTGCACAGTTAGTAGTAGCTCTCCTTTTTGAACAGCAAACAAAATTTTAAAAGTCACGTTCTTCTACCCATTTCTAGCAAAAATAAGTGCTATGTAATTTAACAACACAGCCTGTCAAACACGTATTCAAACAGGAGAGTTTCTTTCTTCCTGTCTCTGGCCAAAATCTCTTATGACAGTGTCTCATTTTTTTATCAGGGATAATAACAGAATATTTCAAAAATACCTTTAAAAATAGGAACTGAAATTTTGAGCTGAGGCAGATTGGGTTATTTTCAACTCAGAAGGCATTGTGCAAATTTTGGGATAGTCCTACCTTTTAAATCAGTGGAAATCTCATATTGTGAAATACGGTGTATGCGGGCCGGGGCACAACGGCTACCACGTTTTAGTGGTGTTTTTTTCCAGGCGAGTTGGAAAAAAGAAAAAAATGAAGTCTGTACATTCATTTCTGAGTTGATATTCAATTGTTAACCAGTTTGACCCTGTGAAAAATAACAGTGTCAGAAAGCCTGGTTTGTGTGTGGATCCAGATTATTTTCCCTCCCCCTGTGGTTGTTGAATTGATGAACAGATCCAGTTTGCCTCCTAGATACACTAAGGGTTGGCAAAGCATTTGCGCAGCTGCAGGTAAACTTCACGGAACAATGTTATGATAAAGCTTTTCTTGTGCTACTTAAGGTCTTCCAGATGTTGGTTTTCTAGCTGAAACAGGCAAGCCTGCATAGAAGCTAAGATTTTCGGTCGTCGTGAGAGGTCAGAGGAATGCCTACTGTATGTACTTGCTACCAACATGTGGGGCTTACTCGTTTCTAGCTTGGAGTAAGAACATACATGTACAAGACTGGCACAGTACATTTAAAACATTTGAGAGCTGCTGCCAAGTTTTAAGGAAAAGCAAATTTTAAAAAG